GAATGCAAGTGCTGTTGGAAACATTTTAGTGCATGTCTTGTGAAACTTATTAATATTAGTCAAAGAAAAGCTCACTACTTTTACATCTTATTTGTCTTAATTACAGAAAGTCACATAAGGATATTTACTAGAATTGAGTAGCTTGTGAATGTAATCATTTGACCTGGTTTTGGCTTGTAGCTCTTAATGGGTGGGAGTATTGTAATATCCAAATTAGATCAACGAGCTACAGCTCTCCTCCAGCTACTGTGCTTCCATGGGCCATGATGGATTGACAGGGAATTGCCACTGTATGTTAAGTCCTCAGATTAATCATGAGGAGATCAGTCCCTCACGGATGTTTTGGACTCAGCTGATTGAGTAAGGGTTTATGTTTAGGTGACTTGTGCACATCACCTCTGACAGAGCATGTGAGACTATCAGATTTTCATTTAAACTCTGCACTGACATAAACAAGTCTTGGTTTTGTGGAGGATCCTCTGTCTTCATACAACTGTCTTTTTGTTTTCTTGTGTTTTCTAAGTGAATTTGGTCATTGGGTTGGGAAGTGAAAGAAAAGGAGGGAATGCACCAAGTATATAATTATGCTAATGAGAACTAGTTACTTCAATACTTATTTTCCAGTTAATATATTCAATACTGAAAGAGAAACTCTTTCGAATTGTAATTTGCCAGTATTCTTTAGTGGCCCTTAGTTCTGTTCTTTTCATTCCTTTCATAAAGTCTGTCATGTATTTTGAATCTTAACTGTATTCAACAGTTCTCTGAAATGACAAAACATGGATTGACCTGAGCAGTACTTAATGTTATGCAGGACCTAAGGTAGTCTCAGGTTCTTTAGCATTTAATATTTTTAGCATTTAACATTCACTATGCTGGTGAGAGACCCACCACTGGGCTTGTGCATTCTTAAACTATTTATGATTTAACCAAATTGAAGTATTAATTCTTTGTTTGCATCTACTGTAGGACATATCTATTTGTCATGGTCATTCTCTACCTTTACAAACTTGTGTTGTGGCTACAGCTGATACTGTTAGGCATGTGAGAATACCTCTTCTACTGTTGCATCCTTGATTGCCTTTCCAAAACCCTTCACCCAGCATGAGATGCAGACATTGTGGACACACTAAAATGTCTCTTCCTTGTCGTGTATTTTCCTCACCACACTTAAGCACTCCTCGTGTTGGAGTCTGTCATCTCATTAGGTAGGCTGTCTCTTTTCTGCTTATAATTGCTTTTCTGAATTGTGGAGTTATTTCTTCTATCTGCAGGCAGACCTCTTTCTCACTGAGTCCAAACTACAGTGGAAGAGTTAGTGGTTTGTAGTTGCTACAAAAAAGTTAATTTTTTTCTTCTGTCCCACAGCTGCCTTTATCTTAATTCAAATTTTGGTCTCTTATTTATTCTAATAAGTGATAAAGTCTAGCCACCTCACTTGCAGATTCTGCAGGTCAGGCAGAAACAGATTGTAGCTACGTGAGAGAGGACACAGAGCAGCAGAGGTTCAGCCCTCTATTGATATACACTGACCTGAAAGAACATTCTAGGGTGTATATACACTTTGAGCAGATACGCACTGCTCTGTGAAGGGGCCTGGTATGAGGGAGTAGCATCTGCATGGAAGGGGACTTCGTTCCAGCAGATGTACCTGTGCGTGCCTGATAACTCAGTCTGCAGCCGTATGGCCTCAACATACCTCTGTTCAGCTGGTCCATCTCTTACTTGTGCTGCTGTTGTGCCCTTGACCAGCTTTTATGCTTAAGTCTGCATCCACATAGGTTGCAGATGCCCTGCCAAAAAACATATCTAAATGGTTTAAGTATCTGGTCTTCCCTGGTATCGAAAGCAGCATGCAAAATTTAAGATCAGTCTTGTTTTCCTTTGTCAGAACAGTCTCTTTCACTGAAGAGATTACGATCTAGAAATCTAGGGAACAATTAGCTGCCTTTTATTGCTAGCTTTCTTTGCTTCTAAGGTAAACTTGTTTCTGGTTTGATGCTGCATTAATGTTCTATTTCATGGATCTTAGTTGCACTAGGTAGTTGAATGATTCATTCAGTTTCATGAAGCAAAACCAAGTGGGAACAGATTGATGTGAATTTCAGTGCTGCATTTCTTCCTGGCTTTTAAAAAGTGAACTGCAGAAATGGTGGTGTTTAGCTAATGGACAGATGTTTTTCTAATCTTACGAGTGTAGAGATGTCTGGAGGAAGATTGCTTTGTGTTAGAGTGTTGTTTAACTGAAGATAATGGTTTGTGTGCTCGCACTGTAGCTGTGCTGGTTAGTCTGTCATTCTTTATTCTTTCCCATCTTCAGCTGTTAGTAACACAAGGTAACTATGCAGTGTTGTAGAATTTTGTGTTGTATGCTAACTAGTTTGTGAATTTAAGTGTTACTTTTGATTTGAATGTTTTTCACTTAATTTGCTGGGATGATCTTTTGTTTAATATTAGTTGTGGTCTTTAAGTGTCTGGCAAGATTGATAATGCCAACCATTTACACAGTGAAAAGTTTTTAACATCTAATTAAAATTTCTGATTTTCTTTAGCTATTTATTCTGCAAAATGATACTCCATCTCTTATTTGCAACATTTCCCACTAGACTTCTTACCAAAGCTTTGAAGTAGCCTGGTCTCCTCAGAAAAGTGACTAAATAATGATGTCATAACATACTTTCCGGTTTAGCTTTATTAGAGCCTTAAAAAGCACACAAGAGTTTACCATATGGATCGCAAGCCAGAAACCTTCCATGCAGTCTCTTGATTTGTTGGCATGTTGTTCTTCTGCTTTTATCACCTGCCAGCAACATTGCTATGTAAATGAAATTTCTGCTGTTAACAACATCATAGGAAAGACTTTATTCCTGATTTTTAGTTACAAGGTTATGTCTTGAAATGTGTAGGAATGCTTACCAGTGTGAAGAATATGCATTTTCTCACTTTCCTGCCATTTAAAGCAATTTCAGTTACCTGTCTGACATGAACCACTCCACTAAAAACAGAGTATTTGTCTTCAAATCTTTCCACTGAAATAGCTCTGAAATCTTCAGAATAAAGTTCAAGGAATAGTAATTCAAGGACAATGTCACATGTTGTAGGTGGCTTGTGTTGATTTTGCAGTTCAGCAGCCACATATTAATTAAGACAGCATAAACAGAAGCTTTTTCAGTTGTAACATGCATACAGATTTTTTCCTGCAAAACAGCAAGCTCGAGTTGGCTGTGCTCTGTTGATGACATACCAAGCTGTGTTTTTTCAGCAATGTGTGTATGGTGAGATCCATGCCTCTAATAATGTTACATTCTAATTTAGACAAATGTGAAAAGCAAAGCTGAATGGAGTGGTGTTGCTAGCAAGAAGGAATGCGTGCAAGAACTGTCTTTTTTTTTTTTTTTTTCTCTTAGTAGTTCTGCGTTTCTGTTTCAAGTTGCCACTTAACCTCAGTGTAAGCTCTTTCTTTAGAAGTGAACACAAACTCTTTGTCTACAACAACCTTACATGAATAATTGCAGTCAATTCAAATTCTGTTAGGGCTTTTTCAACCTAACCACACTTGAAGTGTGAAGTAACAAGCGTCAGATGGAAGAAATGAAACATTATTCATGGTGGTGGGTGTAGCCTGAGAAACCGGGTTTTAGACTTCAGCTTGAATGGTTCTATTTCCCAGTACTAACTCCAATGTGTTCTGTTTCAGTTATGCAAAAGGAAACTTGGATATATCATACATCACCTCCAGAATTGCTGGTATGATAGCTATGTCTGTTGTCTTAATTTCTAATTGTTCTTAATATATGATAACAGTGAATACTTCACCTGGTGTTTGTTATTCTGTCTTCAGTGATGTCCTTTCCAGCTGAAGGTGTAGAATCTGCCATCAAAAATAACATAGAAGATGTACGGTTATGTCTGGACTCTAAACATCCTGGCCACTACGCTGTGTACAATCTCTCTCCAAGAACATACAGGCCTTCAAGATTCCATAATAGGGTGTGTATAGGTTTTGTGTATTTATGGAAAAGGTCTTTCAACACAGTGTCTTGTTTATACCTTCAGCTTTTTATTGTGAAATATGTTAAGATAGGCTGCATAATGAAAAAAAAGTCAAAAGAATAAGGATAAATATAAGATCAAAGGATAACGTATATGCTGCTTGTCTTTGCTTTCAAAGAAAACTTAACTGATTAAAGATTAATCTTTAATCTTACTAACTGAAGTCTGTGTTTCCTAGGCTAGTGTTATCTTTGAAAACACGTACAGGTACCTTACGTGTTTCAGATTTATATGGAGAATATGTAACACAATTAAATATCTTACTAAAATTTCACTCTCCTACATTCAAAGGTTTTCCTGTATGAAAGGTAGTACTCCTTTGGCAACTGATTTGCACAACCTGTTTATTGGACTTTCTCTTTGTCGATTTGACTTCAATATGGCTCAGCCCTAGCTGACTGCTTGTTACTTTGGCCTGAAATACTGATATACCTTAGCCTAGCCTCTGTTAGCCTTTGTGACTATTTCTCTGATACTAAAATGAAGATATTTGCCTAACTCAATAACAAAGTAGTGAGGACAGCTTGTTAGGTGCTGAGATACTGGACTTCAGTGTCTGCTTCTAAATAGACTTCAACTGTCCTGTACGTAGCTCCCATGGAGACTGTTAACCATGTTGTGAGTTGTCCAGCGCTGGCCACATTTAGACCTCACCTAAATAGTCGGTAGTGATAATGCCCCTTCCCCACAATACTGACTGCCCAGAGGAGAGTCTAGAAGCATTATTTGTTACAGGAAACCCCTGTTGGGCCTTATCCTGCAGATCCATCCTAGCATTCCTTCAGTTCAAGTTCATTTAAAACTCTCGGGCTGGGGTATGTTTAATGTATTCTATCTAGTGCTTGTCACTTCCTTCCTTTTGTTTCCTTGTAAACTTGTAGACAAGACAAAGTATTGTCACACATGAAAAAACAATTATTGTCTGTTTGCGTGGAGGCAATCAACTTCTTTGTCTGCGTCCGGTTCAGTATAAGGGTCAGGCAGAAGCTGTTGAGCATGGAAGGCAAAGCTTAATTATGCAGGAAACCGGCTCTTTAGCACTAGATTACTTTTAGCATTTTAACATTTTAGCATTTCATATTACTTTTTAGCACGAGATTACTGGAAAGTCCACTGAGGCCGACATAGTGAACTGATTTACTCCTCATCCTAGAAAGCTGTTTATGGAATGAGAAATTCTGTGACTGGGAAATTGTTTACCCTGGGGGTAGTTTTTTGGTTATACAAGTCTGAGGTGTCTGTACACTGATACTGCTGATGTATTGGTACTGTGAATGGTAATATGAGCACAGCTAAATGTACCAATGATCTGGAACTCTTCTGGTCTACATTTAGCTTGTTGAGATTTGTTTTGTCTTACGATCTTTGTTTTGCTGGGAAGTAATAGTAAATCATAGTAGATCATAACTTGTCAAAACAGTGCAGATTCCTGCTTGCTTTATTGGCTGGGAGTATTTAGGAATTTTCTACAAAACATTGTCTTCTGTTTAAAAAAAAAGAAGGCAGCTATTTTACTTGGAAAACAAACTCTTTAAATATATTGGGGAAATTGTCCCTGTCCATCTTTGAAATTCAGATGCACAATGAGCAATACTGAGTCACTTAACTTCATTATTCAGTGCTGGGTGAGAACAGACCCATAGGAAGCTAAGGAAGCTTGCTTTTTCTTTAGTGGCTGCAAAAGATGATTATGGCAAGCGTTGAACTTGATCAGATGAGAACAGCTTCTGAAATTAATTCTGACACTTTGCTTAGTAGGAATTTATGAAATTGCATATTCTTGCTTTCTTGCTGTGTGCTATCTGTGTGGAACTCTTACAAATTTCTTGATTAAAGTTAATGGTAGTTTTGAAGTATTCTCTGCTGTTCTCAGTCCTACTTGGAGTAAGTTGCTCAGAGAGGTTGCACGCTTTCCATCATTCTGCTATGCAAGGACTTTGCATAAGCTTTCACTAACCAAAGAACATTCAATATAAATATCTTGCAAAGTGGCACTTTCTGAAACTGCTCTCTTTTTAATTAAAATTGCTAGAATACAGTGAAAAGCTGTAGGAGACTTTGTATGTTTGACTGTTTATTTCAGCCTTTTTTCCTTAGATTGGCACAAAACCAATCTTGCTGAGAATTTTTTGTGATACTCAGTTCAGGTAATTCATCTCCATGTAACCTTTGAAATTTTTTTGCTACAGCAATGTGTTTTCTTACCCAGATTTATAAGTTGTTTCCTTGGTCCTGGCAGAACATCTACTCTTTAGGTGTTGCATATGCTTGAGGATCAGGTTTCATATACTTTGTTCTTACTGGACAGCTGATTTTAACAATATAGACTCTCAGCAGTGAAGCTGATTATTTGATAATGTTTTGTAGCACTAATTGCAGAAGGAATAGTACTGAACTGTTGAGGCCCTTTGAGTAAAGGACAAATGTAAAAGCAGACCAAGCCTTTCTGGGCTTTTTTCTTTGCTTAAGATCATGTGCAAAAATCAAGTTGAAAGCTGTTTTAATCCTTGCTCTAAGAAAATTTCAGATAGTAAACAGAATTGTGATCCTTCTAGTGCAGCAGACTATAAACAGGACTGGAGTTTTATTGCACTACATCCTTATAAAGTGATGCTTACACTGTGTAAGACTACTTTTCTTGAGTATATTGCTTAATTTCTACCTGAAGATGGCATTGAAGAGTAAAATCAATTCTTGTATACACATCTTATGCTACGTAAATGTATGTGACTATGTAATCTCATTAATCTTGTTTCTCACCTCTGCTGTCTGTCTTGTTGCAGGTTTCTGAATGTGGCTGGCCAGCAAGACGAGCACCAAATCTTCAGAATCTTTATACCATATGCAAGAACATGCATTTATGGCTGAAACAAGACCAGAAAAATGTTTGCATTGTGCACTGCCTTGTAAGAAGTTGGTTTAAATCTGAAGTGCTTTGCTCAATCCAGCTTTACATTGTGAATAAGGATGCTAGTATCAACTCAGTTTGTGAATATTACTGTCTGTCTTTACTGTGAAGCCAGAGGGCAATTCCATTCTGCTTTCTTTAGGATTTCCATAAATTTTCTCCTTAGGCAAATTAATAGGGCAATGTAGCCCTTGCTTACTTGCATGTAGCATGGAAGGCGGTAGGAGGGATTAAGGCAAAGTAGCCTTTGGGAGGAAGAATCTGCTCTACTATTTCAGTGTTCTCTCTCTTGTTTATGTTTTGTGGGTAACAGCTGGGTATACACTGCATTTTCCTCTACTGTCCATTCAGAATGTATTTGGTATCTGCAGAATTGCAGAAACTGACTGTGAGACTTGTGGTGGAACTTGATTTTGCTGGCAGCAGATGAATATGTAACTTGCAGTGTTCTCTAATGTATCGTTAACCTTGATATAACCTAAAAAAGCAGTGACTCTCTTCATAAAGAGCCACCTCATGTCAAACATGGAGGGGGAAAATGAGTTCAAGTATAGTTACTATGCTCAGGGTTTGAAAACATGAGGTTACTGTTACATTTGTGTAAGAGAATTGCATGCAAAATTTTGATATTCTTGCTTTCCTGCGCAGTAAAAAGAAACGTGACAGTTGTTACAATGCTTATGATGCTGCTAGAAAGCATTCAAAACCAGTCCTTGATATGATGTAGTAGTCTATATGGAACACCACTATCAGGGTCTAAGAGGATTTGCTAATCTAGCAAAGTGTACTTTCTTGAACAGAGTTTTGCAAGGAAAAAAATCAGTTAATACCAGCTACTGAATACCAATAGACTTTCAGTGCTGCTGTGAGGTTAGGAATCGCATACTATGTTAAAGTGATGGTTACATTGTCTCAGTATCACCTGATTGCTGGTCAAGTAGGTAATAAGCAGAAGTGGTGAATTAGCACCAGTTTTTGAAACATCTTTGTCTTGAAGTGTTTTCTTTAAGATACCTAATTGTTCCTTTTCCTCGGGTGTGAGGGAAGCTTGTATATGTATTGCTGCATGCTAGGTGTGATGTGAAGATCGTACACCAGAAGTACTAGAAATGGATGATGGCAGCAATATCTGTTTTGGATTCATCTGGATGGAAAGTTAGGTGGGGTTAACATCTAGGAAATCTAGGCTGAGAAGAATGCTTTGTCTGGTAGAGGTAGAATGTTTTAGTCTAGTACACTTTCTTGGGTAACAAAACATGAGTTGCTTCTTGTAAAGGTGAAACTTGCCTCTACGTGGCCGGGATTCACAACCAGGGCTTCCTGGTCTCTCCGTCTTTACTGTAGAGGTTTGAAATAATGCAGTGACTGTTGTAATTTGAGTGATGCACTTGAGAACAAGCAATTGAAAACAAGATTTAAATGGCAGCTCCCTGCTTCAGCTAGTTAAATCTGGACTGGCAATGACTGGGATCTGTTTTTAGTTGGCATCCTGTGCTGTGGTTATGGCAAGAATGTAGCACACATGCCAGAGGCTGGAGGAACTCTTGAACATCTGCAGTAACACTTTGCTCTCCGTAATTATTGAGGGCCATGCAGTGATGGTGATCCTTGAAAACTTGCACAGCTTTAAGGAGGTGTGAGTACAAGATCATCTTGATGGAACTTAATGACAAAGAGACTTGCAACTGGGTATGCTGTAGCTCTTTAAGTGTGCTTAAGTGTTCTCTCAGCTGGCTGTATTTGACCTGTGTTTAAATGAACCAAGTTGAGATAATTATATGCACACTATGAAAAGTTAGGTTTAATTTATTTTATGAAAGTTATTTCTTCTAAAAATAGTTTAGACATGGAACTCTTGCAGCTTTTTAAGGCTTTGAGATAAAACTTAGTCTCAAAATCTAGTTTTTTCCAGTAATTTTTTATCGCTACTTTAATGATTGTTTATGCCTGAGGAATGTTTACTTTTGTAGCCAAGATCCATGATTCTTGTAAAAACATACAGTTTAGAATTGAAATTCTTACTATCTCATCTTGGTATAGGAGTGTTTCTTTTGCTCCCATTCCGCAACTTATTAAGCTTCTTTCTGAAGGGCAAGGTTCTGTCATCAGATTTGTTTACTAATAAATAAGACGTTCTTTATTTTGAATGCTGTATTTCTGGTTGTAAAGTTGTCCTCTGATTTCATGTTATGGTTGGAAAGGGTTTGCTGTGACTTGCTGACCTCTTTATACAGTAATTTTTCTCCCCTCAGTGTGGTACTTTAATTTGGAAGTGGCTCTGTAATGCAAGTCTACGTAGGTCACTGCTTGTCATGCTGATCAGTGTGGTTTCATTCTTCCAGTGTATTCATTAATGTTTTGTTCTAAGTGCAGGTGTCTCAGGATAGGGACCATGTTTTTGTTTCATCTGTGTGAAGTTATAACTGAAAGGCAGGGTCCAGCCCATAGAATCATAGACTAGTTTAGTGACTTCTGGTAATCATTTAGCTTGCTAATTACACCAGCAGTAATAATATTGATTTGCTGAATTGCCCTTTAAAGATGTGGCTCTTATGGTGCTGGCAGACCTTCTTGTCGTTGATATAAGTAATGGTTACAATAGAAGCCTGTCTTTGAAGGAAATGCCTGTTAAAACAAGTTGAGGAAAAACATCTTCTTCCCCACTTCTACACTCGTATGCCAAATAACTACAAAAAAGCTGTTCCATGTTCCTAGCAAAAAAAACTTGAGAGGTCCTGCTCTGTCAACCACTACCTCTTCTGAATCTTCAGTCTCCTATAATGTAGGGGTGAACCTGGGATGTGTGTAGCCATGATCCCTGCAGGAAGAAGATCAGTGTTTTAATTTCCTTCTCTTAGTTTTGTGGCGGGTTGTTTATCTCAGGTAGTTTTAGTCAGAAGAATAAAGAATTTAGTGCACCTTAGTTCTTCTGAATCTTAGGACTTCTCTTGTAGTAGAAGTCCATGGTTATCAGCCAAAAATAGCACTGAACTGGGGCTTCAGGTAGCAGCCAGGAAACAAACTTAAAAATGGATATTAGTGAGGTAATAAACATCAGTTGAAAATTTCAAATGCTGTTAAGCTAAAGGAATTACTCACCTTTGACCAAGGAGATAATATGCAGTATCTTTTGTACTGTGTGGAAATCAAATTAAACCATTTCACATTCAGATACAACCTTCAGATCTTATGATTGCACTAGACCTTCAACTTCATGACATTAAATAAGGAGATAGCATATTCTTCAATAACTTCTGTGGTGTTTCCACTAGGTTTAATAACAAAGTCTTTTTGGGTTTTTTTGTAGGATGGAAGAGCAGCATCTGCTGTTGTAGTTTGTTCTTTTCTGTGTTTCTGTCGTCTCTTCACTACTGCTGAAGCTGCGGTTTATATGTTCAGTATGAAACGCTGTCCTCCTGGTATTTGGCCGTCTCATAAAAGGTACGGTATCAGTCTGTTAGGGTACTGTTGAAGCAAGTAGTTACACAGTTGCGAATATGCCACTATTTTCACAGGATGCTTTTTAGGAAGATAGTGTTATTCTATGATGTCTGTGTTCAAACAGATGAGTAGAGAAAGTAGTTTTGAATTTTGTGAGCCCTTAAGTTACTCGTGATGCTATCAAAAGTGAGTCAAGTATGACCTGTAGTGAAGAAATATTAGGAATGAAAACGAGGGTATGCAGTGCTTTCGAATGCTCTCTTAAGTTTAAAATCCTCTTACACATGTGTAAGACTTATTCCATGTTTGCTAGCTTATTACAATAGGTTTTACTGTGTTAGAACACTACAAGTTCTGTGGAAAGACAAATAATGATTTCTGTCAGTCTTTTCTGTTTAGGTAAGAATGCCTTCTGCTTTTTAGAGTGCATGCAGAGCATTTGACAAATGTTTTAGACTGATTATTTGATTTAATTTGATAGATCTTATAACAATACAATCTCAGTAGCAAGTGACACTGGTAGTAAGGGTGTTTCCTACAAAAAGGATTAGATTTAGAAAGGTGAGAAGTAAGGTTATTTAAGTGTAAATGACAGATTATGTTGTTGCACCCGTTTACTTTATATTAGTGAGGATAAATCTAAAGCCTTTAGGAAGCTTTGAGTTACTAGCTTGAGAACTGCTATGCAACTTTGATCCATTATGTGTAAGAAACAAATAATTCTCCTAGTCTAGTGTTTTAAGTCCTTTGTAAAGAGTGGTTAGTTTGTTTTACAAGTGAATATATGTAAAACTACAGACCTAAGGCAATGTCTGGAAGGTGGGACACAGGTGCTGATGAGTTCATGTGCAGTGCTGTATTCAATCTTCTGGGCAGTATATTTTTCTGTTGTGATGCAGCCATCAGACTTCTGTACAAAAAGCGTGTTGCTGTCTTTAAATTGAGAGGCTGGCTAGGAATTGTAAATAGTTCTTCACATCTCTATTTTATTTTCCTTTCATGAAATTCCGTCAGATTTGAAAATCGGTTTGCTGGAAGTGCTGTTAAGTGTTCCCAGTGTTTTATTGTTATCATTTGTCACTGCCCAGTGGCTGGATATGAACAGAAGTAACTCACCTCCATGTATTCACCCATTTTTAGGGTTTGGTTCTCTGGCTAAATGAGTACCTTTTCATTTTGGCAGATACATTGAATACATGTGTGATATGATGGCTGAAGAACCAATTATTCCTCACAGCAAGCCTATCCTTGTGAGGTCAATCATCATGACTCCAGTTCCCCTTTTCAGTAAGCAGCGTAATGGCTGCAGGCCTTTTTGTGAAGTTTATGTGGGAGATGAGAGAGTAACCACTACCTCCCAGGAATATGACAAAATGAAGTAAGTACAGGTTATGATTTGCTTTGAAACAGCACATTATGTTTTTCTGGACTTACATAGGTGGTCCTTACTGTGAGGAGAAAACATGATTTTGCATGTGTCAGTGAAGCAGAAAGCTTCTTTAATGTGTGGAACAGGTCCTCTGTCCCCTTTTAGCTGATCTTGAAAAGTAAATTGTAGGGAAGAGAAAACATGGTTATAATAGCAGCTTGAATCTGTTACTGTAGAAAGTGAGAATGGTAGGGGGGGGGTGGCACAGTGGGCACTGGGAGGCAGAGATGAGCAAGACCCTCTTTCCTCTTGCTTCATAAACTAGGAAGACTGAAACCTGGTGTACATGTCTCAGTCATGGAAACAGTAAGGATCCCCCAGGCATGGTGGCTGTAAGGGAAGTGCTTATTATTCGCTGTACAGCTCTGGTCTCTGCTGTTGTATACAGCACAGGAATTGCAAATGGTACTAGCAGTACTAGGTGTAGATAGTCACAGACAGAAGAAAGATGAGAGAATACTAAAGTCCTTCTAGCTTTCCTATATATTCAAGCTCTGTAAGGAGTTCAATGAATTTGGAGAAAGCAGGAGCAGAAACAGCTGTGGGTTGTTATAATAATATTTTTTCCTCTTTTTCTCTACCACTGTCCCACAGTGGGAATCCTAACATAGCACAGCAGTACAGCTACAGTTTCTCTCTGCACCTTTCTTTGGATCAGCTTTCTTCATAATGTCCTGTATCTTGCATTTCCCAGCAGCTCCTTGAAGACATGTTTCTTCCATATTTCATTTGAGAACTATGCCTCTAAATGTGTCTGTTGCTCTGCTGTAGGCAACTGTTAATCTTACTATTTTAAGAGTAGCTTTTAAGTTTTAATTATTTAGAGCTAACTCCTTCTCCATAATAAGAACTTGAAGCAGATTTTTATGGGTTGATAATGAAGGCCTTGGAGAAACCAAACTAAACATAAGGTGATACACTATTGGGTTTTTTGTACAAGAAATTAACTGTGTTTATGCTTTTTCTTCAGGGAGTTTAAAATTGAAGATGGGAAAGCAGTAATTCCACTAGGTATAACAGTCCAGGGAGACATTCTTATTGTGATTTATCATGCCAGGTCAACACTAGGAGGTCGACTACAAGCCAAGGTAATGATAAATTTAGTAGACTACATGGAAGATTTGCTATTTCTTGTTGCAGTTTTGTATACTACTTGTATTTGTGATCTCATTAATAATTTGCTATTCTTTGTTCAAAGAAATGTATGAGGTTTTTATGTACTTGGGAATTCAGCCTTTTCAAGCCTAATAAGTATTTCCATTCTTAGGGCATTGTGTGTAGATGCTTTGGTAAGCATTTCTGGAAATTGCTTCAGTAGTGATAGCTATTATACTTGCATGGAAAGCCTTTAGCCATTTTTTTGAGGCAGTGTTATCTGTTAAGTTGCACAAGCCAGAACTTTTTAATTCTGTACACACAAACTGCAACCAAAGGAAAAATACCACTCAATAGAAAAGTGGAATTCCAGGGACTGCCTGTACAAAACAGGCTAGAAAAATCCATGTGGCTTTGTACCCTATTTCTAGAGCTACGTTGAGTTTTTATAGCTGATTTTCTTACTGGTCTTTGTTCTCCTAGGGAGAATGCGTGTTTGCTTTTTTTAATTCAACTATGGATGCTAATGAAGCCTGTCTTCAAATTTATAAAAAAGAAGCACGGGGGTTTTTCTCCAGATGACTATCCCCAATTAAACTTGGAGATCCATGTAAAAGATAGGAAGGGGTAGTGCAAAGTTTAGGGTAACTTGGAGCATTGTGAAAATCGATCCAGAGGTTCTTCAGACAGTTTCTGTACGCTTGAGGCAAACGAGCATATTCGTACATACCTACTATTACTGAAATAAATGGTTTTCCCTATGTTTTTTTCTACTTTATGCATAGGAAAGTAAGTATCACATTTTGTCATGTTGCAGAGGTTTGAGACTTAATCTTAATATCCCCAGAGTGCTATGGGCTAGATCTTCCAGAAGCCCTAAAACTGAAAGCTCGGTGAAATGATTCTCTAATGTACAAAAATAGCTATTGTATGGTACAAGGTCATCAGTGAAGAGAGCATACAACTGGGGAAAATTCGGCCGAGACTAGCTTAAACTCCTTGTGCAATCTCTGTTTCACTGATGCTAGGGTTTCTTTAATGTGGTTCTCTGGTGTTTATTCACTGACTGGACAAGATGAGAATTTTCTCATCCATCTGCTGTAACACATGATACTTCAACAGTGTCTGTGGTGATCCTGGTTTGGAGCTTTGATGGAACAATATTCGACATGTCCTTAGTTTTATGTACTCTAAATTGCCCACTGAAGCTCTCTGCAGAACTCTTACGGAGATCAGCCGCGACACTTCTATATTGCTGTTAAGAGCTGGGCATTGTGAATGTCTCCCACTTGCTCACAGTTAATTTGAGAGAGATTTAGTTTAATCTTCTAGGAAATTTCATGCATAGCAAGGTATTAAGAAAACTGATTTAATAGGGTGTTCAGGTTTTCATATGTAGTTCAGGGTAGGGATGGATGGATCACAGAGACCCTCTAGTATGTCCACGCCCGTCGTCTACTGAGGACTCCAGCACTGGACACAGCACTTCAAATGTGGCCTCGCAAGTGCTGGATAGACCCAAAAGATCACCGCCCTCAACCTGCTGGCAATGCTTTGGTTGTTGGTTGACTTCTGGTTATGATGTTCAATAAATGCTCATTTACAAGGAAAGCTTTTATAATTCTGTTTTATTATGTTGTATTTACTGGACTATTAGTGTATGACTTGCTGTGTAAGGACTGGCAAGACTATTCCACATATGTTGTAACTGAAGTCAGGGAACAAATACGTTGTGGATTTATCAGTTTTGTAATTTGGATTTCTGTAAGACCAGGAGCCACATGAATCTTCTGCAGTAGCATTTTCTGGATTCTTACATGCTGATCAGGAACAGGAAAGTAGTTTTTCTGTCAGCAGAAGAAAGAGTTAGGGAAGTTGGATGGTTATAATGAATCAATTCAGAAAACCCCTTTAATTCTGTCTGGGATGAACAATTGACTTGAGAAGTTGCGCAAGAAATAGAACTCTTTGCACGTCTTATGAAATGTGCTACATTTAAAAGTGTTCTGAATGGACACCTTTATATATGACGTACATTTCTTGATTAATGTATTGTATGTTATTCAGAAAAGTTGTAAACGTCTTGTAGTTTCAGCCTGTAGAACAGGGTCTTGAAATATTTAAGACTTTGATATTTAACAATCTGAGATTTGTGATGAGATGTAACTGGTTCAAAGTCTTTTGGTTTGTTTCTGGTAGTAATAGATTTATCTATGTTCTGTCTTAAATGACATTTAAATCTCTCAAGATAAACTATACGTGGAATTAAACTGAAATGGTAGCAAAGCAAACACTTCAAAATATTTTAATAGTGAAAATACTTTGCATTATATTAAAGGCAGAACACTGTGCATACTGTTCATGTGGGTTTATGCAGTTTCCCTGTATTTCTTGTTTTCAACAGATGGCTTCAATGAAGATGTTTCAGATTCAGTTCCACACAGGTTTTGTGCCCCGAAATGCCACCACAGTGAAATTTGCCAAGTATGTTGACATCTCTTTGTAGGAGACTGGGAGAAGTTTTCTTTGAAACTGCTTAACCTGCCAAACCCACATGTGGTGGGGGGAGGAAATATAGTCAGTGTAGGAAGTAGATTACTTTAAGGGCAATAAGATTCTTTTGTTTTCTCACCTCAAGGAAACTGAAGGTTTTGTTCATGATAAAAAAAAAAAAAATCTGTACCAAAATACCACCTGTATAAATTATATGGAAAAAGTAAACAAATACAGCATGTTTTAAGCCTTACACTAATTGCTTTAAGGTTTCGTGTTAGACTGCAGTGAATTCAATCTAGTTAGCCATCATTATCAAGAATCTATTTGTGTGCATCTTTGCAGGTATGATTTAGATGCCTGTGACATACAAGAAAAATATCCTGATTTATTTCAAGTCAATCTAGAAGTAGAGGTGGAGCCCAGAGATAGACCTAGCTGTGAACAGCCACCGTGGGATAACATGAATATAAAAGGACTGAATCCCAAGATCCTTTTCTCCACCCGAGAGGAACAACAAGAGATTTTATCAAAATTTGGTAATGTATCTCTTGGAAAAACTAGAGAAAGTTTCCAATATACTTACTGTTTCAGGCTTTTGTTTAATTTCTGACATTCCTTTAAGTGAAAGAAATTTAAAAGGTGTGTTCTTGTAAATATCACCTAAAAATTTGCATTATATGAACAAGTATAAATTATCCTTTAATAATCATGCTTGACTTACCTCCACTGTCATTACATTTGCTTGCTTTAAAGCTATGAATATGATATTTGCAGAGATTTTAGCAAATGGAATTGTAACAGCTATGATTTGTAGGCAAAATTATTTGAAAGAAATGTATTTGGCTAAACTGGCACCATTATCATTTCACTTAAAATCATCTGAGCATTCCTTACAAATGGTCTGAACTAAAAATGTTTGTCGAGGTCCTTCTTATGTGTAGCCAAGTAACATAATTCAGTTTCTCAACTTTTCCTAATGTGGTCCAGTAGATGTTTAATTTTTTTAACTGGGAGGAGTGGCTGACACACCAGAAAGCTGTGCTGCCATTCAGCAAGACCTAGACAGGCTGGAGAGTTGGGCAGGGAGAAATTTAATGAAATACAACAAGGGCAACTGTAGAGGCATGCATCTGGGAAAGAAGAACCCCATGTACAAGTATAGGTTAGGGACTGAGCTGTTTGAGAGGAGCGTAGGGGAAAGGGACCTGGGGGTCCTGGTGGACAGCAGGATGGCCATGAGCCAGCAGTGTGCCCTCGTGGCCAAGAAGGCCAATGGCATCCTGGGGTGTATTAGAAGGGGTGTGGTCAGTAGGTCGAGAGATGTTCTCCCCCTCTACTCTGCCCTGGTGAGACCATCTCTGGAATATTGTGTCCAGTTCTGGGCCCCTGAGTTCAAGAAGGACAGGGAACTGCTTGAAAGAGTCAGTGCAGAGCCACAAAGATGATTAAGGGGGTGGAACATCTCTCTTGTAATGAAAGGCTGAGGGAGCTGGGTCTCTTTAGCTTGGAGAAGAGGAGACTGAGGGGTGACCTCATTAATGTTTATCAATACATAAGGGGCAAGTGTCAGGAGGATGCAACCAGGCTCTTCTCGGTGATGTCCAATGACAGGACAAGGGGCAACGGGTGCAAGCTGGAGCACAGAAGGTTCCTGATTAACATAAGGAAAAACTTGTTCACTGTGAGGGTGACAGAGCCCTGGAACAGGCTGCCCAGAGAGGTTGTGGTGTCTCCTTCTCTGGAGACATTCAAAACCTGCCTGCATGCGTCCTTGTGTGATCTACTGTAGGTGGTCCTGCTCTGGCAGGGGAGTTGGACTAGATGATCTTTCGAGGTCCCTTCCAACCCCTAACATTCTGTGATTCTGTGTATTCTGTGCTTCATCTATAGATGCATTAACTGGAATTAATGCAGGCTGTTCAGTATCTTTCTTCTCCTCCTGCTATCAGTGATTAGCTTTGACACGTTCATTAAGGCTTTTAAGACTTCTCTGTGCTTCCCAAATAAAAAGCAAGATGGAGATTATTGTGGTGATTTTAGTACACCATACATGAGATCTTTCTCTGCTTTTAAAATGGTACATCTTAATTACATTTCTTTTGATACAAGGTAGTTGCTCTGTCTTATCTTTGTTTTAGCAGGATATGTTTGGTTTGCATTCTGATCTAGGTAATTTTCCGTTTAACTTATTTTATATAGATTTTAAAACTCCTACTGTGAACACAACTTTCATCTTACTGAAGTTAGTTAAGGTGTTTCATTGATAATGAGGATCTGTAAAAATTGCTCTTATGGTTTTTAAGTCACTTTCATTTTCTGAGAAATAAAATGTAATGGTTTCAGATTCCATTGAAAATACCTCTTAAAATTGGTGGGAAGGGAGTAGGACAAGAGCAAGTGCTATGAACTGATTTTATAAAACTTGCCTTATTAAAACGGAATTTGCAGTATGTCGTTCATCATGATCTTTCATGAATGTTTTTGAAGAGAGACTATTTTCTTTCGCATCTCTGTAAGCTACAACCAAGTATGTGAAAGGAAGGTGAAAAAGTGTTCTACCAGCTTGGTATTTAGATTTAGACAAATAGCTTTCTCCCAAGCATTCATCCCATGTTTTTCAAACAGTGGTTGAACACTTAATTAATTTGGGGAGTTGTCTTGAGGAACCTGTTTTTGAGAGATACAGCAATAGGTAACTCAGCCCAACTCAGTCTTGCACGAGAGTCGCTTAATACCTGATCTGAGTGAAATAAGAAACATACGGTGTAGTTAACCACAGCACACGGTGTATAGCATAACTCTTTTGAGATGTTTGTTAACAAATGTGTGTTCTTGTCTGGCTTTATTCTCTGGGTTTTTTCCTATAGCGCACTTGCTCTTTTCTGATGTTGCATTCCTTATTGCAGATGTTATTCATAGTTTTTGTGTATTTTAGTGATGGTTGGTACAAGTGAGGTGTTAATTGTATTTTCCTACCAATGTAAATAGAATGCTTGAGTGTTTTGCTATGACTCTGATTTAGTTTAATGTTGTAGTTGAAAATATGGTCTTACCATCTTTTGCAGTTGAAACAAGGTTGATCATGCTAATTTCAAATGGGGGGTGGGTGTGGAATTTGCCTTTGCAGGGTAATAGATGCTTTGAAACAGTTGTCTAACTATAGTAGTCATTCTGCAAGTTGAATACCAGCTGCTATACCAGGATTGAGTTTTAGAAGTTTCTCTCTAAGGGTTCTGGCTTAAAATCTATTTTATAGGGAAGCCGGAGCTCCCAAGACAACCAGGTTCAACTGCACAATATGAAGCAGAAGCATGCCAGCTGGAGGAGTCTTCAGAAAGTGCACCTACTGATACAGGATCTCCACACAGCAGTAGTACTGATGCAAATAACTTCTTTCATTCTCTGGACTGGAAAGGTGCAAGTTTTCCTCTGAAGTATCTATTTGTTACATGTTTGTTGTCTTATACACTTTCCAATGAGTACTTAAGCCTTCTTATGCAGCAAAAGCCACTATTTCACCAGATCATGAGAAAAAGCGACTTAAATGAGTGAGCTATGCAGGTTAACAAGTGGTCATTCCACTTTATTTGGTTTTTTTGGTATTATGTGTAACTTAAATGCTGAGCTAAATTTTTCTTTTTCTGCAAAGATCTTAACCTTGAAGGTCTGTGAGGAAGCCTTTGCATTCCCACAGCCCCATTTAGGCTGGCTGACGAACAAAGGAAACAAAGTAGACTAGCCAGTGGGGTACAGATCAGTATGTATGGACTTAGAAAATGCAACCTTATAGTGCATGTGTAAGTCCTTTTTCTGGGTTCTGCTTTGTTGGCAAAAATGACAGTAACTGCTTATGCTGTCGTTGAATGCTGTCACTGAGTGCAGCAGCAGTTACTGAGTGACCTTGTAAACCACGAGTAGTGCAATGTCCTGAGATGAATGTCCAAGTCAGTCTCATTTTGAAAACATTCATAAAACCTACCCTTGCAGAGTGGCAAGTATGGTAGTGAGTGGCACCTTTGCCTGCTCTGTACAAAGAGGTGGTGCGCAACAGGTAGTTCTTATTTTTTTCATCAATTCTTTTGTGAGCTTTGATTAATTAAGGATTGATTTCATATGATCTCACCATATAAGTCTGTCTTATCCTGGTTGGCAGAAGAATCCTGGTAATATAAATCTTCTTTTTATTCAAGAAGGACAAAGTCCGGAAAGTGGAATAGAGGACAGTTCATGTAAAAATGATCGTGTTCAACTATCTGATGACAGGGAGGAGAGTGATCCTTCAGATGAGGAATTCCCTACATTTCCAGCTGAAGAAAGTGCAGTAGTTGTTGATGAAAAAGACTCTCTTACTCCAGAAGGAGAGTGGCTTTTTGGAGCCAATTTTGAAGCTCCATCTGCACTGTTACAAAAACCTCTACCTGAAGAGAATGTAGACCTACTGGGACTAGACTCTGATATTTCACCAGAACAGAAACAACCTATCTCAGAAATAAACTCTTCATCGAGTAATGCAGACTTGTTGAACAATCTCTTTGTGGGTAATGCATCACAGATTTCAGAAGAGCCCACTGGAGATCTTCTTGGACAAGGAACAGATTTCTTTTTCAGCAGTCAGTGTCCAGCTGCTGCTCAGGGTATGTCTTCAGCAGCAGCGATGTCTTCAGGTACGTGAATTTAATATCGGTACTGTTTGGCTGGCCAGTAGATAAAAACTGTGTCTTGCACTGTGCTTAGAAAATGAATACTGTGTTTTGGTTGGTACAGTGCAGGCATGTTGGTCTATAGCAAGACTCTGCATAGAGTAGGTGTTCTTAGTGCATGAAGGAGAGAAATTGCTATATATTATCCTGGTATTTTGTTATTTGGCCAATATCCTATTAGCCTTAAATCATGTAAACAGAAAAGTATCAAATTTTGAATTTAAATGAGATTCAGTATTCTTAAAGAATCCATAACTTTCCCATACAAATGTTACATGCTAGATCATTTTCTAAATCCACGTGTAAATTATTTCTCTTACTGAGGCATGGAATTGGAGCTTATTGCTTTCTTGCACTTTATGTAAAGCAATATCATTAAATGTGGTACAAAGCTGTGCTGATTAAATGTCTGTGTGGGATTTTTGGTTATCACATAAGACTGCTAGGCAACTGGAAATCCTGTAGATTACTGTTCAAATCAGTAGGATAATGTAAGGTGTACTGCTAAAAGGTGCTTTCATGCTGGTTTCACTGATGTGGTTGGCAGGTTTGTATTGCTATTTGGTATTTGAAATAAGGTGTTTTTGTTTAGAGGTTCTCTTCCTCTTACGAATGGATAGTTAGCTCTTTGTAACTAATCTTTTAGGAACAGCAATTCTTACTGAAGTTAACAGTAAGATTTTTGGGAATATTAGCCAAATAATCTGGGAAACTGTTACAAGGTTTAGCTGCTTTGCACAAAGATAATTTAGACAAAATCTTTAATCTACATACAGCTGCAAAGTGGTTTTGTAGAGCATTTAGGTGACTTCCAGTATTTCTTTCTTTTGAAGCAATTTAGTATTGAACTGTTACTGTGGTCAATGAGGAGTCACTTTACCTTTTTTACATATGCAGAACTCTATCAAAGAGAAGTGTTATTACTTAATCTTTCTTTAACTATGCCTTTCTTATATCTACTCCATGAAACACCTGGGAAGTAGTCATGTATGTGTCTCATTCTACCTTTGAATTGGATAAGAGAAAGATAATTGTGGAAGTGAGAATATTTGGCCACTGTTGAATTTCAATTCGCACATCAAACTTGTGCTTGAGGTTTTGTGTACATGCTATGCTATAGTAAGATAGCTTGATGACAGTCCAGGGTTTGTTTTTTTGAAGTGTTACTGAGTCCTGTACAATGTGGTTATCACCTCAGGATGTGCTAGGGCACTATGGCAGGATTGTTCCTTCTTTTCAGTTTCTGAGTGAATCTGGCAGGAGTCCCTGGGCTCTTGAGGATTTTGACTCTAGAGGGCAGTAGAAAAAGGAGCATCTCGAGCCATGATTCCAGCTGACTGTCACATGTTACTCCATGCTGACTATAAATACTCTTCCAGTTAGTTTTTTCTTCATTGTGATCACTACAGACCTGTTGAAAGCCTTGCTTCTGTTGGTTTTCATTCTTGAGCTGACGTGCTTTCTGTCCCAGAGTCACCAATGCCTTCAAGTCAAAGTGGTAGTATGAATGTTTTACTTGATGTGCTTTAGTAGTTTAGTAGTCTGTTTTGTTTAAGTTCTTTGGAGGTGTGGTGTTATAGAGCATTTAACGAATGTAATTTTTCTGTTTGTGTGTGGATGACCACACAGATTTAAGGTGTGTCTTACGTAGATGAAATTAATGATGTTACTGAGTATATGCAGCCTTGCTTAAGGATTTGTGTTTGAAGACATAGCTGTTCATATTGTGTATGGCTGAAATACTACTTGTACCATCATGAACGTGCAGATGTCTAGAGGAAGGGGCAGATGGTGACTCTGCCACAAAAAAATCTCAGAAGGCTACTGCAGTTACTGATATGAACTTTACTTTTTGTCTGTGCCCCCAGAGGAATAAGGCTTTTCCGACCTCATTTATTCTGAAATTTGTCGTAAGATAATTTTGTTTTCTTCTTTTTTTAGCTGATCCTTTTGACCCATTCACAATGTCATCAAGTTCAGAGAATCAAGCCCTGTCTGGTCCAGACCTCTTTGGGGACTTTCTTCATCCAAGGTCAACATCTACAACTAGTACAGTTCCTTCCACACACAGTTCACTTCCACCTTCTTCCAGCTCGGATTTCTTAAAATTAGGTAAGTGTGCTTCTGATGTTGTGTTTCTCAGCAGTTTCGGCTGCTCTGTGCATTTGTCTTTCAGCTTAGTCAAGGTGGATTAGTGTCTTAATAGATCCACTTGTTGTGACTGCTGTTTTAATTAGCTCAGTGTTCAGGGAATGCAGATAAAATGCACCAAGTATCCGAGGTTCCCTGTATAATGTCATCATAAATATTTATGATGAAAGAGGATTTCTAGCATTGCTAACTTTCCGTTAGGAGCTGGAGTTTCCTCTGAGAGCTCTTAGAATTGAGGGTACACAAGTGCTTGAAAACTTACTTTCTAGATGGCAGAATGCTATTTTGTATTCAGATTTTAAAGTTTTCTGGAAGCCTTGGTAAAGAAATGAGCAAGGCAAGTTATAGTTTAACCAGTTCTTAAAATGCAAGCTGAGGCTAGCTTGGACCTTCTTGACCTGAATGCATTCTGGTAATATACTTAAGGACTACATTATGTAATACTCTAATCTTATTTGTTTCATTTAATTTTGCTGATATATTCTTGGTGAAGCCTTTTCCTCACACATTTATTTTTAAATCTATTCATCTTTAAGCAAAAAGCTTTGTGATGTATTCAGTCTTCCCGTATCTCCATCCTAAGCATGTTATTTCCAAAGTGTTACTAAATAGAGCTTCTAAGCATGCTCATTTAAAGAGAAACATACCCTTGCAAAAGTGGTGAGTGGTAGTGTCAGAAGTGTTGCTTTTCAAACGTGACTTCCAAAGAAAAGCATGGGTCTCTCCGCAGGGGTGGGAGTTGTGTTCAGTCTGTGACAGCTTTTCTCTGCAGTTTGATCCCTGCACTGTTCCTACGTAGGTCCTTCCCACAGGATACAGTCTTTCAAGAACATAGGTTTCCACAGAGTATGGTCCTTCAGGAAGACACTGTGCCAGCATGGGTGCCGCAGGGCCTGCAGCTCCTGCCAGGAGCCTGTTGCTGCATGGGCTCCTCTGCATGGACTGTGGCTTCATCCAGGACATGCCCACCTGCATGAGGTCCTCCATAGGCTGCAGTGTGGATGTTTGCTCCACTGTGTCTTCTCCGTGGACTGCAGGGGAATCTCTGCTCTGGCAGAGCTCCTTATCTACTGACCTTGGTGTCTGCAGAGCTGTTTCTCTCACACTTTTCTCATTCCTTAGAGCTGCTGTGCAGTGTTTTTTTTACCCTTTCTTCCATATGTTTTCCCAGAGGTGCCACTGTCTTGGCTGAGGGGTTGTGCTGTGTCCTGTGATGGGTCTGTGGGAGCTGTGTGGGGCATGAAGCAGCCCAGGCCTCTTTTCACAGAGGCCACCCCTGCAGACACCCACTTATAAACTTGAGTTAGTTAGGAATGGTGGTATCACATTCCTTACCATTAGTCTAGGACCAATTTCTTCCCAGAGCTTACTGCATGTGATTTTTGAGTTGCCCCTCCTTGTTGGACAGTTGTCTAGTTGACCTTGCCTGTGGGTGATGCAGTCTGAGTGTTAGCTAGAGAGAAATGATAAAGATAGATGCAGTATTTGCCTGGCTGAGATGAGGGCTTCCCCCTTGAAATAAAAGGCTAGCCAGCTGATTGCCCTCTCTACCATGTACTTAAGCATTATATTCCAGCTGTGGTTGATTTGCTGAGAAGATCACTTGCTGCTTCCTTAGCTGTATTTTTGTTCTGTCCCATAGATACAGTAACGGCTGTATGTTTTAATTGGATACTTTTATGGTTGCCAGTTTTATACCACTTCTCGTTATGACACTATTGTTGTCACTGCATGAGGTTACCAAACAGATGATGACTTTTTTTATGTTCAGTAGAAGATTTGATCAATACTGATCTGTGTAGCATCATCTCAGCCAAAATATATCTTTCTCCAGAGGCAGGGACCTCTGGAGACTACCCAGCTGACCTGCTCAAAGCAGGGTCAAGTTGAGCAGGCTGCTCAGGACCATGTCCTTGCTGATTTTTATTATTTCTGAGGATGCAGACTTTACAACCTCTATGGGCAACCTGTGCCAGTGTTTGACTATTCTTACAGAAAAAACTTATTCTGTTTAAATGGAGTTTACTGTGTTTCAGTTTGTGCCGGTTGCCTCTTGTCCTTCCACTGGGAAGCGCTGAGAAGAGTCTGGGTCAGCCTTTATTGCTTCCCATTGAGTATTTATACGCATGGATAAGATTGCCCACCCCCAGTCCTTCTCCAGATTAAAACAATACCAACACCCTCAGCCTGTCCTCATATCAGAGGTGCTTCAATCCCTACATGACAGAGAACCCTTTTATGTACTAAACTTACTAAATTTAAGTTGGAAAAATAGATAAATGAGAATTTTTGCTCTCTAAATGTTTACTCAAAGGGAGTGCTCAGACCTCAAGGAGACCACCATCAATGTTCACCTGTTAGTAACATTTGAGCCAAGTACGGAAGAAGATAGACTCTGTGATGACAGTGTTCTGTCTGGCTTTAGATAAGTTTGCATCATATTAAGTCAGCCTCTTGGTTCACAGAAAATCCTGTTGTCCTCTGTGATTAAAGGATTTCCTGTAGACATGACAGGTTAAATAAAGAAAACCTAATGTGAAATTGTATGTAGGATATAGCAAAATGCAGGTCTCATATTTTGGGAAGCTGGAAAGTGTGATCTGTTTACCACCAACTTATTCTTACATCTTAGCTTGGTTTGAGCGGTGTTAGTAAAGAACTATGCCCTGACCTCAAGTGGTTTACTGCTGTATGGCTAAGGATTATAAATATGTGCATTAAAGAACAACTTGGGGGACAAGCAGGTATGGATCTGTTTGCCCATTATCTCAGTTGCTTCAGCTTCCAGAATATTTAGCTATGCTTCATCTTCTACCCCTTCTTTAGATATTCTACTCCTTTCCCTTAATGTGTCTGTATGGAATTCTAGTGTCCCAGGTTACAAAAGTGGGGGATTCGGCATGTGGTCTTGTTGTACCTCTTCAGAATATGTAGAAATCAGAGTATCATGTTGGTAATGCTGTTTCTTTCTTTTAAAATCTATTGTAATGCCCAAGTTGTACAAGTATAAAGAATACAGCAGAAGAATAAACAGTTCCAGGAGGACATCTTATCTGTTCAGTATTTTGCACATTGTACTCCATTGTATCAGATTTTTCTCATAAAAGTAGTGAATGATGTGAGCTTGTACTATTCATAGTGGATTTACTGCTGTACATAGCAGTAGGCTACTCCCTGCTTTGTTCAGGGTGGGGGAGGTGATGAACTTGTCTGCTCTTAAACAGCAGTTATAAAACACCTGATTCCTATAGTGTGTTCTTAATCTTTCAGATGCATTCAGCTATAGTTTATTTTTATTTCTCTCAACTTGGTTTTATCATAGTTCTGTAAGTGGTTGTAAATTTCTTCATTCCACTGTAAAAAAAAAAAAAAAAACCACCAAAAAACCACAAAAAACCCCCCCAAAAACCAAAAAATAACAACCAAAAAAAACCCCAAAAGACACACACACGCAAAAAAAAAACCCCAAAACAACTTGTAATAGCAGAGATCATAAGCCAAAATCATTTCTAGCTTAAAAATTTTTACTAATGTTAATTCAAGGCCCACTTGACATTTTGGTATGGTAACAGCAAATTTCTAAGCCGTTGAAGAGACAGTTTTGGATAGTTTGATACTTACAGCTAGTGACTGCTGTGTAGCAGATAGCTGGGGTCATGACTACTAGGGCAAATATGTACTGTTTCTCCCATGGTTTCAGAGACAGGGAGATGAGGCTTGAGTCTGGAGAAAGGGCTGAAAATTGTACTATACCTCCGAAAGACTTTGGCAGCTATTTCCTGAGTTTTACTCTGTTTTCCTTCACACGCAGCAGAGGTGACTGCTGTAATACAGGCTCTTGGCAGACATTTATTGCAGAGTATTTGATGGGCTCTCTTTGCAACTGTAAGATCTAAGCATAAATAGAATTAGTGGACTGAGGTGGTGGAGGGGATATTTGATTTGTTTCAAATTTTTTCCCCAAATAAGATAAAAAAGCTTCTATGATTTGGCATCAATATTCAGAATGTAAAGTTGAGAAGCTGAGAGAAGTGAAAAGGTGTGATATAGTAGTCAAAACATCCAAAGCATCAAAATGTTGCTATTTTTGTAAAGATGGCTGAGTTAGCTTTCCGAACTCTAGGTCTTCAAAATGTTTTAGAGCACTGCTAAACATACTGTTCTTGCTGAAATATCATCTCTCCCTGTAGCACTGACTGTTGTCATAGCATTGAGGGGGTGGTTACATTCAAAAGCTGTCCTGCTTCACTGTGAGTCTCTACAAGCTGTGCTCAAAGGGAGTGCTCAGAGCTGGCATGCAACTTTGAGTGTTCCATACCTAGAACCTCTCATTCTGAGGATGACTCGCCTCATACTGTGTGTGAGTGAGAAAGGGGGGAATAATTTGCAAGCATCAGGAGTGGCAGTTATAACCCTGTGTTGGATGTGACACTTTCTAGAGGTTAGTGGAAGCACCTTTGCATCCTTTTGAATGTGAGCGTTTCATTGTCTGTTTTCAATTGGCGTGGTGGGTTTTGCTTTGCACGTAGAAAAGCGGTTTTTATCCTTGGAGCTAGTGATTCTCAATCTCTTCCCAGAAAAGATTACTCTTCCTGTATTCTGGTCTTTAATTTTGTGCGTTCATTCATGTACTGAACCTAAAAGGATCTAAATGAGTTTGTCAAGAGCTCTCTTTGTCTTATGAGGCCTGGGGTAAACAAACCTGCAGTTCAAAGTGACCTGGCTTCACCTGTGTAGCACGCAGACTGCTGAGTGATACAGAGCACTATTTCATGAAGCAGTGCTGTTTTCTAGTTACCTGCAACAGCAGCATGCCCTGAAGCCACGCCTTAGCTAGTCCTTTTGCCTAAGTGACCTGAGCTGTTAAATTCCTAGCATTGCCTGTGCATGAAAATACCTTCTCTATGAAAAGTATGAGATGTTTCAAATACAAATGGAGAAATTCCAGTGATGAAAACCTTCTCAGTCCTGTTTAAGACTGCGTGACTGTGTTATGGAGAAATTTAAGCAAGCCGTGTAGTTGGCCATTGTAGCTGATAATGTGGTGAACAGTTCTACTGGTATTGGGGAAACATCCATTATTGTGATGGTTTTCTTAAAAGAATAATCAAAAGATCTCTTTTTCTGCTGTAGGGAATTTGACACCAGAGCCACCTAAAATATCATCTTCTACAAGCCACCCAGATCTCTTAGGTGGATGGGATTCTTGGGCAGATTCCTCAGCAACCAGCAGTGTAGTGTCACCACAATTGAAGCCTCTTTTTGAAGGTATTATGAAATGAAATTTTTCCATTAGAAGGAATAAGGAATACTCAAGACTTGGTCAGTTTAATCACCTGAAGCTGCTGAATGTGTCTTCATGCCTTTTTGCTTTGTTGCTTAAAGGACTCTGTGCTCTTGTACTTAAATGCCTCTTTGGTAAGGCACTTGTATAGTTTTTTTAGAATAAGTTCAAGGCAGAGGAACCAAATAGTTTCCGTTGTCTATAGTAATGGTGATTCTTGTCACTGTGAAAGATGTCACGGAGTAGAATGCTGGGGAGGTTTACGTGAGGTGGTGTGGAAATAGTACTTTTATTCATTCTCTCTGTTTCCAGATACACCAAGTACATAATATATTTTCTTATTATACAGGTCAAGCCTCTAGCACAGTGAGCCAATCCAGTGTGTCTTCAGGTCTTTCTTTCAGCCAGGCTAAATCTCAGAACTTTGATCCTTTTGCTGATCTAGCCAATCTTGGATGTGGTCTTCCAGGTAAGATCTTACTTGTAAGAGGCTACACTTAATGCCTCTATGGATTGATTTGCTTCTTGTACCAATAAACGTAACTGATAGCTTATATAAAGGAAAGTCTTTTAATTGTTAACAACCAGCTTGAGGCAGTTTCTGAGAGCAGACAAGTAACAAGAAAAGACTGCATCTTTACAGAGACTGTGTGAAGCATCTAGAGTAATATTTCAGAAGATAACCACAGCTGTGATTCAGAAACAGTATAAATACTTAATGCTTCAGAATCTAGCTGAGAAGGTAAGAGAAACCAGGGGTTGTTGATTCAGTAACTGAGCATGAGGTTTCTTATCTAGCATTGATTGATACTGTGCTGTGAAGGATATAAAATGAAAACTGGATTAAATTCTTTGTTAGATCCAGTGACAGTTGTTTTCCTTTTAATTCAATACTTTTGTTTAAATTCAGTAGGCCTTCATAGCTCTGCTGCTCAAATCTGTCATGTTTGTAAGATGAGCACAAATCAAGCCCCTACTTGTACACCAATACCATGAGCATTATGAACATTTGTCAGTTTTCAGTGGTGTGCACTAGAAGTTATGTAAGATGAGACACATTGCAGAGTAACACTTGTGCCAGGATGTTATATTCAGCCCAAACTCGGGAATTAGCCCTGCAGCATTCTCAAACAGCAGAAAAAACTACAGGCAATGAAAAGAGCTGAGGTCCTTGCATTTTGGGACCACACTGCCATAGCAAATGGATAATTTGTAGATGTTGAATGTGACTAGCTGCCAAGAGTCCAAGGAATGATTTGGAACAGCCTATAGTTGCTGAATTGCAGAAATGTGCTTTTCCCTTAGCTTGGAGCTGACAGGTTTCATCCTGTTCCCTTGTCAGTTAGCATTGTGTATTGAATCAAGTACCTTGCTGGAATGAACACAAGGTAACATATGCTGTTTGGCTTCTTTATGTTGCCTGTGCGTAATTACTTGCAAAATTTTAGTGCTGAAGCGGTACCAATAAGGCTGCTCTGCAGTAAGCAGTTACAAAAAAAATTTCTAATCCAGGTTGAGATGGACTTGTTAAATCTATAGGTGGTGTGACAGTAAATCAGTTTATTATCTTTGACTCAGAGGTGCAGGTATAGCACACTGAACCAGTGGAAGAAATTGTACTGATTTTAGCAGGATTTAGATCAACTAGTCTGAGTTAATTTTCAATAGGAAAAATGACTGTATTAAGAAGTAGCCAGATGTCAATGTGCTGGTTAACCTTCTCAGCCTTGAACTGAATTTTCAGGGAGTTAGAAGAACTGGAGTTTAGACTCGGTGTTGTGTTTTTCATAGTTTTTTGGCCTTCACATACAAGTCTTTATTCTGGAAGAAGGTTATGAGAGTGAAAGCTCCTTAGTTGGGAATGCTATATAAACAGAAAAGAAACAATAGCTAAAGGTAGTAGTAGTGTATTAGGCCAGTGGTAGGATACCAATAGAGTTCTGTGATAGTTGTTCTCAGACTCCTTGATTCTAGGAATGATCTTGTACCCGAAAGGAGCAGTGTGGTGAAAAGTTGCTGCTGATAGTGAGGTGTAGGCTTGTCCTACAGGAAGAATTGGTTGGCCTTGAAGACTGAAATAATGAATATGGAATGCTTTGAAAGAATAGTAGGATGAGGTTATTTTTCAGTGTGTGAGATCATGTACTATTACTAGTAACAGGGATTATTTTTTTTAATTTCACGAGTTGGAAGTGATGGAAGACTGAGTTGACTATGCGATTGGGTGCTTTCATGAAAAAACAGTGCAATCCGATTTTATCAAGTGTTGTATTGCAATACTAGGTTTTATCAGGTGTGGTATTTAGAGGTGTAGTATGTTATCTTGTACATGGCCCCAGGGAGACACCTTCTTGTGTAAGCTGTTGTAACTGTGAGCAGCAGCTACAAGAGAGCTATCAGGAGAGCTGAGGTGTGGGGAACCAGTTTTAAAAAAGAAAACTGAGTTTACATTGCTGTGCATACCCAGATAAACTTGGGTGTTTTTTCTGAGACTTTAGGGTGAGTAAAATGGGGGAAAAATAGAAATGAGAACAAGTAAGTTTAAAGTGGCTTGGGATGTGTTTGAGCTGGAAGTTAAGTTCTAATCAGCAGTGGATTAATAATGTATGTGGAAAGGCAAATATTAATTCACATTCTTCCAAGAAATAGGTAGATGAGATCATAAGTTTGTCATTCAAGACCAAGTGATAAGGATTTCTGGTTTTGAGGTGTCAATATTTCATTCATGTTATACTTCCTGTCTGGCTTCAGGTGTGTAACCATATTTGAGCACCAGTCTTGAATTCATATTCTGTCATTTTTAGGGAATTCTTCCAACATGAAGAGGCCTTAATCTGTTTTAGGATGCCCTAAGTGTGGTATAAAATGTTTCTCTTGCAAAAAATCTAGATGTGTCAAAATTCAATCATGCTATTTTTTTCCCTGTGATGGGTATACGCCCATTATATGCAACTTGTCAAGGGAACTGAGTTTCTAGGAATCTTTCCAAAGGAAGTCAATCAAGGGCAATTTAATGGTGGCTTGGTTTAGAATAAAAAATCTCAAGTTTATTCTCATCAGTGAGACAAAAAGCTGAATAATAAATTTAAGATTGGAACTTCATTCTGCTCAGTTTATTTACAGTGAGTGGAGAAAAGGCCCTGTGTGTTCTTCCCAAAGTAGCAGGTGAAGCTGCTAAGCAGTGTTATTTCTAGTGGTTTAATGAAGGGAAATGGGATACTAAAATCTTAGTCAATATTGTGTCGATAAGACAGAGGCCTATAGATCACACCAGGGTGATCACACCAGTGTCTCCTGCAGGCTTCAGTGCCTTGTTATACTGATGTGCAGTATTCCCTGCTAAAGCTGCTGTAAAATAATCTCTCATCTTTCTTAAACAGTAGTGCAAGAAATCACTAAAGACTTTGAAAGCATTCATTTGAAAATATTTTCAATGTATTACATTTTTGTGATCATATAGTTAGTTTTTAAGAGTCCTCTGTGTATAACAGATGTTGAAGTGTAATGAATTGGGAGGCGGAACTACTGTCACTGCAGAATTATTTTCTGGCCTTACCCATGCCTCCTGGCCAATCAGACAAAGGTGATTGCTTCTGCTAAAACTGACAGTTGAGAACTTGAGTTGTGAGAGACTGGAAGACTTTTGGTAATGGCTCTAGCTCCTGCCATCCAAATTATTTGTTAACGAGCCGTGTTACTTTATTTTACACACAGTTTGCTGTTACGCTTTCTCTTGTATAGTGGTATCACTGTAAAGTGTGTGGTTTGGTGTGAAGACAAAACTGTCTTTCTTATATTATACAGGTGACAGATACTGAGCTGAACAACTAATTTAGTATTTATTGTTAGTTTCCTCTAGTGGTGGACTCTCAAGTAGTGGCTTTGGTCAGAAGACTGCTCCATCTCAGAAGCTGGGAAATCAGTGGCAGAAATCCACAAAACCACAAAGTACTTCATGGCAGGCCCAGACTAAATCCAGCACAACAGCTAAACCAAATTACACAGTAAACTTCAGTGTTATTGGAGGACGAGAAGAAAGAGGAGTCAGAACCCCAAGCTTTGGTAAGTTTTCTGAAGGTGTTACTTATAATGGCCTCTGAAGTTAGTCAGATGTGCTGTTAGCTGTAGAAACTCTTGTACCTTCATTTTTTTATTTATGTTTAGGTTATATCTAGTAGAAATCAGAGAAGAGCTTGGCAAATCTGTTGTCCTGCTTATGCATAGCTATGCTAGAATATCAGAGATGAGCACAGCCTAAATATTTGCAAGTTTGGGCATAAAGACTCAAGGCTATATTCACTTATCCACATGGGTACTGGTTTTGTATCGCTGGGTTAGAAACGTAAATTTGATCTATCTAGGGAGAGATGGTTGATAGTGTTGCTTCATGGTAGTCCACTTGTGCTACACGGGTAAAAGTAAAAGGATGCAACATTTTTCCTAGCTGAAGAATAGTAGCTAGTCTTAAGAAAGATTGAGGGTCAACTTACTGGAAATTCTTGTGTTTCTTAAGGGATGGGAGCAGGTGAAATCATTCTCGGAACTAGTCCCTTAAGATGTTCCAACTGATTAGGCAAACCTAGCGGTATAGGGGTGGGTGTGGCCTCTTCTATATTAACCTTCATGGAGAATTTTGTTTTCCTGCTGTTTTAGTAGTGGGATTATGCCTCCCTTTAACTGGCATATAAATGAACAGCAGGTAATTCTGTAAGTTGAAATGATTCTGTTGGTCTGTTTCTGGAGAGAAGTGACAGGATGGAGATGCAGTGAGCACAAGTTGCAGCACAGGAAAGTCTGATCAGAGAACAGGGAGAAAAATTTCTATTAGCTTGATGAAATGCTGAAACGGGGCAAGGGATGTTGTGATTTCTCATCTTTGAAAACAGGTGGACCTCAACTGCACAAGGATCTGAGAAATTTGTCTAGTTGTCCCTGTTTTGAGTGGGAATTGGACTAGATGACATCCAGAGGCCTCTTCAGAATTCAGTTATTCTACAGTTCTCTAAACCTTGGTGGTTCTGTAATGACTGTTCATGTTAATGTTTTATTCCTTCATTGTTCTGCCTAAGTTTCAACATACTTAAATGTTGACAACATACTTTCGGCTAGAGTGTTGAGTATACAGTCACTTGAAAAACTGCTACACAGCAATTAGAATTACTTTATAGTGGAGACATGGAACCATTTCCAAAATCGTTAATAGGTAGATGTGTACTCCCTCAGATCTACTGCACTTTGGAAAAATGAGGACATGCACGTATTTAGCCACACGTAAGCACGTGAGGTTATCTGCTCTGGATTGAAAGCTTGTCAACGATCCCTTTTATTCCTATCCTGTTAGCCTTGTGGAGTTCATCCAGCCACTAAAGGATATTTATCATGGTAGTGGGAAATGTCATGCAAGTGTATCTAAGGACAATATATTTCCCCCCTTAATGTATTCTCATATGTAACTTTTCATTTAATGTTTTTCTTCTTTCATAGGTCAGAAGCCAAAAGTTTCTGAAAATGACTTTGAGGATCTCTTATCTAATCAAGGATTTTCGGCTAAATCTGATAAAAAAGGACCAAAGACCATTGCTGAGATGAGGAAACAAGAAATGTCTAAAGATATGGACCCCTTGAAACTCAAGGTTTGCTTAACAGTGATTTTGATTTAAGTGAAAATCTGAGCTTATGCTTAGAACTGCTGATAATAGAGCAGAAGGTACAACTAACAGAGCAAACTAATAAAGCAAAATGAAATTTTATCTGTATTTAAATCATAAGACTTAGAAGTTAATTAGCATGAACAAGAGTCAGTTGACAATGAAGCGGAAGACAATAGCACAAAAAGTGTGTGGATGGAACGCTTCCTGTTGCAGCTGAGCTTGGAGAATTTAAGAACCTGTTTTCTTGTTTGAGCCTGTTTATTGAAGCCGGAACTGTTCTTTATCTCTAGTGTTCCCAAAGGCCTCCTTAAGAAAGATGGATTTGGCTGGTTATACAAAACTCTACTTTAAAAAACAGGCAGGTGAAAATAGCTCTCTTCAGGGTGGCCACTTACTTGCATTTAGCAGTTAACAAGTGCTACTGCTGTCTTAAAACATTAGTAAAAGATGTGGTTCTGGAGATGGGCTATAGAACTAGTCTGTGGGGTGATACCTGATCAGCTGTTCAGATTTTTTTTATGTATTTCTCATTAATAATATCACATATTAATATACTTTCAGTTTTGTGGTCTTTACGGTGCTTTAGAAAAGTTTTTACAAACTTTGGAGGGATGCTGAAATTTGTTTTCACAGTATCTTACCTGAAGAGAGTGTGCACAGCTTGCATGGGTACCTTTTTAACACCAGTCACCATAAACGAAAATAAATAGAGATTTTTATTTGCCATACCCGTTGCTGATAGAGGACAGAGATTTTCATATTGCATAACACAGTGTTCAATGAAGACACTGTATCACTATATCACAGTGGCTTGAATATTGCTGTTAAAGTCTGAAATGGCTCGTTATTCTAATCACCTTTCATGGGGATATCGGAAAGAACACTTTAGTTTGTGCATCCTTGCAGGTTGCTTAAGTAAACATTAACTTTATATATGTAATCTGAAACTTTTGTACAAATCAAGTAAGAATTTAAGTTTTTAAGTACTCCTGTCAATTCTGTTGTCACTAATTTTACAGGTTTTTGTAGTATGTTAACTATCTCAGAAATTTCCCTTGCAATGACTGAATTTATGATAAGCTAATAACAATGAGCTACTCCCTAGTGGCAGATGCAAAGTATCACTTTTGGGTGGCTAATGGTCTGGGTGCCAGAAAGAAGAGTGTAGTAAGACAGTTGGACTTGGAGAGCAAATGCACCAAGACAACTGTACTTGGGTCTTAATATTGTGGTCTTGTACAGAGTGATGGTTATGTCTCTGGATAGACTGAAAATGCTTACAGTACTGCATTCAGCTCTATACATTCTGTTTTTCCCAGATTCTTGAATGGATTGAAGGAAAGGAGAGAAATATCAGAGCATTAATATCCACTCTTCATACAGTGCTTTGGGAAGGGGAAAATAAGTGGAAACCAGTCAGCATGGCAGATCTAGTAACTCCTGAACAAGTAAAGAAGTACTACAGGAAAGCAGTGCTTGTAGTTCATCCAGATAAGGTGAGGATGTTCCTCTGATCTTCTTTCCTTCAGAAGGAATACAAACTGCTTTTACTGCACCGTACTAGTCACTGACAGATGCTGCAGCCTTGCTTCTTGACAGCACCCTAGGTGCTCTTCGCTTTGCTTCCATTGTCTTCAGAATTTGGAGTGTTACTGCATTCAAGTAGTGCAGGATTTTTCTTGTCATCCTGACACAGCACAGAATTCAGCAGATAAATGTTAACAGATGATAGATTCCATGAAGGTTGTACTGAGCACCGAAGTCAGTTATGCTGAGTTCTGACTGCCTGCTGGCAGGTTTAGTGCTGAGTAGTGCCAGCTGATACTTCAGTACTTGAGGACTACTTACCAGTATATGAAGACCCAG